ATACATGAATATCTTATTTAAATATTAAATATGTAGTACTCCGTATTTAATAGTCCGCCACCTCCCATCCAAATTAAATTAAAAGAGCTTAGACCTTTTCATCCAAAAAAATACGGAGTAGCTTTTTTTTTTTGGAAAGAAAAAAAAAATATACATAAGCATCGGTACATAAATTTTGAATATAGAGATATTTAAACTTCTATGGTAGATTCATTATTTAGATTCCCTCTCGAGGGCCTACACAAGTTTATGTTATTCCCTCCGATATTATTTCCTTTGTGCCTTTTCTAATTTTCTAACTTTTCTTTTTTGAGCATTCTATATAAATGTTTCCATTTTTATTTTAGGAAACAATTAACATTCTTACATGACAATTTAATAATAAAAAATTAAGAATAATATATTTATAACATCATAGTTAGCATCAATGATTTCATTATACTCTGTACTAGTGTAGTACCCGTGCGATGCACGAGAATAAAAAAAAAATCATTTCAACTGAAGATCTTATTTTGTAATTGTATCCTTCAAAAATGAAAATAGTAGTAATATTAGTGTATAAAAGATAATTAAAGAATAGATAGTTTAAGCAATAAATTTAATTACAGGACAAAAATAAACTGATTAGAATACCCAACATAATGAGAAGTGATATTTTTTGACAAATTTCACTCTTTTCTCTTCTAGAAATTCAATGATCACATGGTTCAATCCCATATGCGTACACATATACTCCTTATATGGTTTCTTCATTGTGCACTTTTAATCATAAATGCTCCTTCTTTCAAAAAGCATACTCTCAATTCACCACATCTTTGTTTTTAATGGAACAGAGGTGGAAATGGAAATCACGTTTTGATTCTGTATAAGTATATGGTACTATTTCAGGTGTAAATATTAGCTGTGTGTAAATTTCCATCTGAAATTCAAAACAATAAATTCATCCTCCAAAAAAAATTGTACATGTATAAATCTAACCTTTTTCATAGAATAAAAAATCAGAAATCTATAGTGCATAATATAGACATTCATTTGCGTTGGCAAGCGACTCTAATTAAAAGTTCTTTGTGGTGCAATTGTGAAGGGTTGTCTCCATTATTTATAGATTCTTTAGCTCTTAAATATTGAAACAAAATTTTAAAGCCATACTTGAAAATTAAAAAGGATCTAGCCGCAAAGTCTTTATGTACGTACACTTGGGGAACTCAAAGGACTTCACTTTGCATTAATTAATTTATCTCTCCAAGCATTATTGAGAACATTAGCATTAATTTGTATTTATCTCTCCAATCATCCAATGCACCGTTTAATTACCGGCAGATGCTTTGGAATTGCTAAAGTAGTTCTAGAATATTCAATAGACAAATTCAAGTATACATATTAGGCCAGCGAGGCACTAAACTTCCCATCCAAATGACTTTTGGCTATTGCGTTTTTATATACTCCCTCCGTCCCCTTTTAAATGTCTCATTTTGTCATATTGGGATGTCCCTGTTTAATTGTCTCATACCTTATTCGGTAAAGTTTGTGTGGCTCAAAATCATTCTTACATTATTATTACTTTATTCTTACTTTATCTATTAATATCAACCACACAAACCTACTTTTCTTAAAACTCGTGCCACCCTCTTCCGGGACATTTAAAAGGGGACGGAGGGAGTATTATATAGATAAGAGTAATATACTCCGTAATAACTTATGTGATACAGAGCATATTGAAATGTGAAATATGATAAAATGAGGAAAATAAATATGTAAGTGAAAATCCATATGACATATAAAATGGATAAATGTTTAAATAAAATTGAAAGATATTTTGATATACATTTTTGTTATATTAATATCTCTACCATCTTTATCACATGTAACAACTTTTAAACCAACATATAATTGATCAATCACTATTACGCAAATATTGTTCTTGGTTTTTGTTTATCGTCATTCCATATGAAACTGTTAGACATGACGGTCATCTTGAAACTTGATATCAATACTTTTTCTCCCATACTTATTCCTTTCAAAAGAATTCTTTCAATACATTATTTTAACAAAAAATAGTAACATCTCTATGATATATTTAATCCATTCACTTAGAATAAATAACTTAAGAAGGCGTTTACCTCGCTGCTAAAGTCATAGTTAAGTTAGTAAGATATGTGAAGTAAACACGCAAGCTGCTTAAAAGTTGCTTACTAACCGAAAGAGGTGCTTAAAGTGTCGCTTACTAAGCATACCACCCTCATGTATTAATTAAGCGGCACTTTAAGATTTTTCAGTTTCCGAATTTACCCTTACCCTTACTCCTTGCCTTACCCTATTGTTACCCTCTACCCCACCCCGCCCCTACCCTTAACTCTACCTTACCCCACCCCACCCCGACCCCCGACCCACATCCCTACCCTATCCTACCCCCATCCCTTACCACGCCACCCTAACCCCAGACCATACCCCTTACCACCCCTACCCCTCACTTGTACTCTTTACCTCGACCCCACCTCAACCCCCCAGTACCCCTTCTGCGTAACCCCTGCCCCTACCGCTTACCCTGACCCCCCTACTCGTGGCATGTACCCTACCCCAACCTACCCGAGGGTCGTGGCATGGGTACGGTCATGGTAGGGGTAGAGGTAGGTCCCACATAATATATGCATATATACTTGTGTACATGAATGTTTGTGTCTATACATGTAGAGTTATTTTGGATATTTTAATGTTAAACGATGTTTTAAATCTTGTGAGATGAACATGAGTTTATAGCACTGATTATTTTACACGCCGCTTACTAATGCAAGTCTTAATAAGCACGGCTTAGTAACATTTGAATTATATTTGAGTACATTGTTCATATATTTATATTTGAGTGGACCAAAATAAAATCTATTGTATTTTTTCAACTATAATGTAAAATAATCTTTCCAAAAACTGCTCTTTCTGTTCTATAATAACAGTCTCTTATTCTTTTTTGAAATGTTTTTTGTTACTTGTCTCTCTTTTATAACAACTTATTATTAAATGAAAATAGAATCATGCTTTGGTAATTTCAACTAAAGCCATCCGCCTTCTCCTATTCTTGTGTCTTTTCAATTAACGTATACGGAGTATAATATTTTGTCTATTAACGTTTCATTAAATGTTTTGTCTTTCTATTCTTCCATAACAACGAAGTCGCCAATATTAATTGTCACCACCTGTCAACTTTTTTCCATCACACTTAGCTACAGTGTTCCTGCCCAAAATCCTCCAACACTTTTCTGTTTTACTATATATATAGATTATATACTCATCAAAATTATTTACAAATATATTTGAGTTATCTTATTTAATTATTGTCTAAATAACCATGTTATTTTGCAATGAAAACTGTCATCGGGGCGAAGGTCGAATTTATGTATGGACAAAAGCAAGCATCGTATGGCATCTTGGCACATAAATATGTCAAACACAAGTGTGAACATTAATATTCTATCTATATATTTAGTAACTCGTGGCCAATTTTACAAATTGTGTTGCTGATATAGTCTTATACTATTTTAGATGATTGTGGCCTTATAAGGTCGAATTGGGATTTTTACGAATCGAGCAAAAAAAATCAAACGATAGTGTGAATATCAATATATATTGAGTAAAATGTGATCAATTTTACAATTCATTTTCATGACATTGTTTGATTGCATTTAAGATGATTGGGGACTTGTTAGGTTAAATTGAGGGTTTTATGATCCGAATCAAAAACACGTCAAACAAAATTGTGAATATTAATATTTTATCTATATATTAAGTAACTCGGGGCCAATTTTACAAACCGTGTTCCTAATATAGTCTAATTGTATTTTAGATGATGTGCCCTTATGAGGTCGAATTGAGGTTTTTATGAGTTGAGCAAAAAAATCAAACAATACTGTGAATATTAATATTCTATCTATATATTGAGTAAAATGTGATCAATTTTACAATTCATTTTCATGACATGGTTTGATTGCATTCCAGATGATTGAGGCCTTGTTAGGTTGAATTGGGGGTTTTATGAATCAAATTAAAAACATGTCAAACAAAAGTCTAAATATTAATATTTTATCTATATATTAAGTAACTCGTGGCCATTTTTACAGTTCCTAATATAGTCTAGTTGTATTTTAGATGATTGTTGCCTTATTAGGTCGAGTTGGGGGTTCTTATGAACCGAGTCAAAAAAATGTCAAACAAGAATGTGAATATTAATATTCTATCTATGTAGCCCGTATTAAGTAAATTGTGACCAAGTTTACAATTCGTGTTCATGAATAGCCCCCCAAGGGGTAGTTATAGGGGTTTGAGAAATATTAAAAATTCATTTTCTCTCTCTAGCTCTCACTTCTCTCTAGATTAATACTCTATCAATAGGACTGCCATGTTTTTAGGATGTTATTATTTGGACTATAATTTGATGGTCTGGTCTGAATTGGTCTAATCTGGTCTGGTAAATGTCTGGTCTCTGTGTATTTCATAACTACGGAAGTCAAGTCTAGTCTGGTCTAGTCTGTTTAAGTCTGGTTTATTTATGTCTGGTCTGAACTGATATGTTTAAGTCTGATCTGGTCTAATCTGGGACGGAAAACAGTCCAAAGTAAAAACATCATTATTCCAAAATAGGAGAAATTACCGTCAAACTTGAATAATATTGTCATATTCAAAATTTGGTACTACCAAAACATGCCGATAATTAGTACTTTCTACTATTTTGAAAATACAATCATGATAATCATGTTTTGGTATATACAAAGGTTTTAATGATATATAGGTAATTTCCATTTTTATTTGTGAATGGATAATTTTGAGGTTAGCCTAAGGGGTACCCCTATTATGACTTTGATGGATTTTAAAAGATCATGAATTTTGAAATTCGAAGGAAGTCTACCGTATTGCAGTAGATTGTTTTTATATATAGAAATATATTAAAATCCATGAAAATAAGTAACTATATTGTCCTCAGGAATGTTTTAGAACATCTTTATTGTCCTCAGGAATCCTCAAGAGTAACCTGAAGGCAGCTCAGAAGCTATAGTTTGATTCGCCGGCAATGGAGTTCCCGGAGCCGCCGGAGTGCCCCGTATGCCTACAACCGTACGAATCCACGCTAACGATTCCGCGTGTACTTGCATGCGGTCACTCTGCTTGCGAGGCCTGTATAGGGCGTCTCCCAAACGCCTTCCCTAACACCATCAGATGTCCAGCCTGCACTCAGCTTCTGAAGTTACCCAAACCCCTCTCCTCTCTACCAAAGAACATCGACCTCCTCCGCTTCTCCTCCCTCCTCCTGAACGAAGATCCTCCCCTACAACCTAAAACCGCAAATTCACTGCAAGAACCCAAAAGTGACTCGTCAATTTTCAGCACTGCTGTGTGGCCTCGTGAATTCTACTTATACTGGTCATCTTGGATTCTCCCAGAAAACAGTGTGTCCACTGAACCACGAAATTCCGGCTATAACTTCACTGATGATTTTTGTTATTTGTTGCATGGGTGTTTGACGAAATGTCTGAGGAATCACGATGTTATGAGCAGTGGGAATCCTGCAGAGAAAGAGGAAGTATGTCTTCTTAAGCTTGGGATCTCCATTCACAAAGATGAGAACTATTGTAAGTTCAAATGTAGTTATGAAGTGAAAGTGTTGAGAGTATTATATGAAATGGCCTATAGGGAAAGAAATGAATTAGACTTGATTCTTCATGCAAATTCCAGGCATCACGGAGTGTGTAAAGTTTATGGCTTTTGGTATTGTGAAGATGCCAATTCTGTGTATTTAGTTTGCCCGAAGTTTGAGACGAATGTGAGTATGTTCACGGACTTGATTTCTGATGAAAAGGGATGCATTAAAAGTTGGGCAATGGTTGGGCTAGACATTTGTGAAGCTGTGATTAATTTGCATTTGCAAGGAGTAAGCATTGGCTGTTTCGGAGCATCTTGTTTTGGTATGGATGAGTTTGGCCACACTCATGTTGATATATGCGAGACTTTGGTTGCTATAAGGAGATTTAGAAAGATGATTACTTGTTATGAAAATCTTGCTGTAGGATTGGAAAATGAAAATTTGACAGAATGTTTGTTTGTTAGTCCAGAGGCTATGTTTGGGTTTTTGAAAACTGAAGGAGTTCAAATTGACTATACAGTGGATGTTTGGTCTTTAGCTTCACTGTTGCTTTGGATTCTTATAGGGGAACCTTTTGCTCAAGAGATGAAGGTTTATTTGCGGTATATAATTGAATTTGATGAAATGCGTTGTGATCTTTTTGGATGGTACACAGAGTGGATGGAGAGGACTGTTAATCTATTTGAACGTCAATTGAAACCTGAATTTATACCTTTATCGGATATTTTCTGTAAGTGTTTGGATTTCAATCCTGAAAACCGCTCACCTGTGATTGAACTATGGAAAAGCTTGAGAGAAGTGATTGTCAAACCAGATGTTGATGTTTTAACTAACTTAAAACAGGTAAAGAACAAGAATAGTATTCCTCTTTGCCTGCTTTTCGGAGACCTCTGTCTATCAAAATGCCTATCAATCTGCAGGGCCAACAAACAATCTACTGATGGAAAAGATGATGAGAAAGATGAAATCTTGAAGGTTGGTAAGGATGTTATTGAGGGCATACCTGATGGCGAGATCAAATGTATTGATCTGATAGAACATCGTGATTGTATAACAGGCTTTGCTATTGGAGGTACTTACCATGTTTGTCATATACTAGTCTATGTTCTGCTAATGCAGTTTCTCATTATGGATATCTATCTCTCTTATTTTATATCTGTTTAAAAGTCCTTTCACTCTATAGACTGTTTGGTGCTTTTTAATTGCAGAAAATTACTTCTTTGTTCCTCCCAATGAAAATGTAATCTGAAAATACTGATATCTCATTTGTATGTTTCAGGGGGTTTCCTTTTCAGCTCATCCTTTGATAAAGTGGTCAATGTGTGGTCTTTGCAGGTATACCGTACAAACTTATGAGTAGCTTGGAATTTTGGAGTAGTGTTCACACTGATATAAGTCACATATGCTCGCAAATGTTGCAAATTTTAGGACTTTTAGAAATAATTACCTAAGTGAGACTTACATGATTTATTCCTAAAACAATATCTACTTGGTCCTCGATAAAGAAGACTAACTTGTTTTTTATTCCTCAAGTAATGGGCGTGTTTGACATTTAGCGGTTGGCGGATTATGTTACCGGTACGTCAATAGCGGATTCAATCAGCGGGTTTGACTAGCGGAATAAGTTAGCGGGTTGTTAGAAGATGTTTGGTAAGTTAGCTGTTTGGCCATAAAATTAATAGAAAACGCCATATTTCAAAACGCTAACCTAAATCTCTCCTATTTGCCGCGTTTTCATTTTAGCGGTTCCGTCCAAAAACGCTAGTGCCGAACCACTATTTACCAAACAACGTTTTCACTTATTGAAAACGCTAAAAGTGGTCAAACCGCCATTTTTAGGCCAAAACGCCATTTACCAAACACCCCCAATATCTATCTAGTCATACAAGTATTAGTAGTCATATTTGGGGGAACCTATCATTTTAGTCATAGTCATAGAGATTTCTCAACATTGTTGGCAAAAAAAATTTGCAGGATCCAAAATGTTTACTTGAATTAAGTACTGCATGCGAATTTTCAAAGTTATACCTTTTCTTCTAGTTCGAAGCCTGATTTTTTATTTTCCTATTTTAGTTAAAAAATTGAACATTTGCTGATGGGTTTTCGCTTTACTATTTTGTATAATAATAATAATAATAATAATAATTTATTGTCTGGCAGGATTACTCTCATGTACATGCATTTAAAGGGCATGAGCAAAGAGTTACTGCTGTCACATTTGTGGATGATGTACAACCTATGTGCATTAGTGGTGACAATGGGGGTGCCATATGCATTTGGGCTGCCACGGCTCCACTGGGCCGAGAACCAATAATTAAATTATATGAGCAAAAGGATTGGCGGTATAGTGGTATTCATGCCCTTGCTGTATCAGGAAGCAACCATCTATACACCGGCAGTGGAGACAAGTCAATAAAAGCTTGGTCACTGCAGGCAGTATTCTATTATCCTTTTAATCTGGTTAAATTTAGTAGATGCAGAAAGAGTGTGTTTGGATAGCTGAAAAGTACTGGATTACTTTAGTAGTCAATTCTAATGTTTGAATGGATTATAGTAAGATTCAGTTTGGTTTGGGTAATTTTAGAATAAATAGTTTTGTTTGCATGCAACCAAAAGTTACTTTCTACAAGGTAGATTCAGTATGAAAAATTGAAAACAATTGGATGGAAAAAGCTGTTGAAACATAATCATAAGCTATAAATTTCAAACTTGAAACAGCTGAAAACTTATAAAGGTGATCTGAAAAACAGAATGTTCCCAAATGTGATTAATTAAATAAAAAACCTGAAACTGCCATTAAAAAAAACTGAAAGTGTGGGTTCCTCAACAAGCTTTTAACTGTGAACTTTTTTTGCTATGCTTTCTTCTAATGAATTCTCTGCCACCATCTTCAGGATTACACATTATCATGCACAATGACAGGTCATAACTCAGTTGTTTCTTCACTGGTAATTTGCAAAGAAGTCCTTTACAGTGGAAGCTGGGATGGAACTGTGCGATTATGGTGTCTTAGTGATCACAGTTTGTTGGCAGTGCTTGGGGAAAATATGCCTTCAAACTTGACTTCGGTGCTATCTGTTGCTGCTGATGAGGATTCACTTGTTGTTGCTCATGAGAATGGCATTGTTGAGGTAAATCCAAAATGATATGATTCCCTGGATATACTTAGAGTCCATTTGGCGGCCAAAACTGGATTATTCTGCTTATCACTAGCAGACAGAATATGCAGCTCTTGACTTGCTTATGCGGCTGAAATGGATTTTACCCAACCCTCTTCTTCTTCTTTTTCCAGAAAATTTAGTAGATTCATCCTTATTACCTACTACCAACAATCTAAACGGGGTCTTCGTTCAGTTTTGGTCTGTTTTGGATCATTCTCATTTGTCTACAATTTATTACGTTCTCTATCTCAAAAAACAAGCTGATTTTCACTATATTTGTTGCGTTTTTTTCAAAATAAATGTTTCAAACAAGTCAAGTATGTTAGATTTAGTTTAGCGGAAAATAAAATTAAAACTTGAACCTTGTGACGGATGTAATAATACAAGAGTTACCAAGAAAGAGAACCATTCCAGCACATACATGATTCTGAATTTGTGCGTTGTCATAATAATCATCTCATTGGTCAGATCTGATTTGTCTACAATTTATTACGTTCTCTATCTCAAAAAACAAGCTGATTTTCACTATATTTGTTGCGTTTTTTTCAAAATAAATGTTTCAAACAAGTCAAGTATGTTAGATTTAGTTTAGCGGAAAATAAAATTAAAACTTGAACCTTGTGACGGATGTAATAATACAAGAGTTACCAAGAAAGAGAACCATTCCAGCACATACATGATTCTGAATTTGTGCGTTGTCATAATAATCATCTCATTGGTCAGATCTGGTGTAATGATACGCTACTGAAATCTACACAAGCGCACAATGGAGCTGTATTCTCTGCCTGCAAGAAGGGGCGGTGGATCTTCACTGGTGGGTGGGACAAGGCTGTAAATGTACAGGTAATGCCAAAAACATACCGCTAATGAATCTATCACAATTTGAAACCTCGAGGATGCAAAAGACAAGAGTAAGTCAGCGTGTACATTATTTTCTACATTTATTGTGTACATTCTTAGTTTGCATGTGCTATGAAGAGTTAGACAACTCTTCATCACCCAATGAAGAAATGACACTTGAGTGTGTTCATAATAAATGTACAAAACAAATGTATATTCAGAACTATTGAAGATGTAAAATTTATTCTGATGTAAATCTAAATATGACTATTCCACTCCCACTCCTTGAATAGATCTTACTCCCTCTGTCCCAATATTTCCCAATTTGTCTTTGCATGGTTTTTAAATAAGTGGAAAATGTATGGTTGAGATGCGTTTACAGGAGAGAAACAATATCAACCACAAAATCATTTCCTTAAAAGGAAAGACTAGACAAGTCAGGGTTGCACATAAAAGGAAAGAATAACATTTATTTTGGGACGTATGGCTGAGGGAGCATTTGCTTTGGAATGCTTGATTTCTTGCTATGGTTTAGACTTTACATCAGGAAAGGAATAGCTATTTAGTTTAGTTAATGGATATTACATGATCTCTACTAACTTTCTAGGAACTATATGGGAAAGATACTCAAATAGATGCCACTGTGTTTGGATCAATTTCTTGTGATTCTGTGGTAACTGCCCTTCTATACTGGCAAGGCAAGCTTTTCATTGGACAAGCTGATAGAGTAATCAAGGTACTATAGATCTATTTTGTGGAACTAGAGAAGCTATTTTATACTTCAAATCTTCCATCCTGCTTTCTCAGTCAAATTGGTGTGCCACTTACAATGCTTGGGTCTGACTGTGGTGGACCCAGTCCCATCTCTGACCGGCTGGTCCTGGGTCACATAATAAGGAGAACTGGAGAACTGGAACTTTGACTATGTATTGCGGTTCCAGTCCAGTTTTAGTTCTCTAGACTATTTTTAAAAACGGGAGCTGAATCGGTCCAGCCCTGTTTCCGGGGAACCAGTTTCTGGTTCCTGACTGGTTTCCGTGGAAAAGCAAAGCAGTTTTGGTAGCGGGGCTGGGTCCACCCTAGTTCGGACTGATGATAAGAGTCCTGGCTTTTTCATTTTTACTGACTCTGTCCGTTTTTTTCAGGTATACTACTCTACGGAGCAGTAATTTCTTGGAAGAACGTTCAAATGCATAAAGTGTACATTATAGTGTTACAAACCAACAGTACATTTCAAAACAATGTGGAAAGAAAGAACTGTACAGAGACCTCTAGGAGAAAAGGGGAGTACATACATACATACATCGGAAGAGTTATTTGATTATGGCTATACATTGCCTATACTGGACGAGGAGAAGGTAGTTTTCATATTCAGCAATATGCCGTGCAAAAAATTTACATAAGCTTCTTTCTTCAAAATGCTTCCACATGCCAAATGACCTCAGAAGTATTTTCCGGATGAATAATGCCCTATAATATCCCTTTCCCTTTGTTGTTTCTTTCTTCCAAATATAACTGCTCATTCTCCTTGAGCTTTTTTTGGCCTTAAGCTTTTGTATCCTTTCTTTGGTGGCTGCTAAAGTGTAGATGATTTCTATGACATTTAATATCATTCTTTTTTGTTGGCCCACTTTCTGATGATGTTCAATCCTCATATTTTCAATTTTCATGCTATTTTTTTTTTCTTTTTCCCGATTCCCTTTTCAATCTTATTCTTTTCAAAAGAGGGGTTTTCGCAACAGAGTCATTAAAACTAATGGTGCATTTTTCATTTCATTTTTCTTCTTTTTATTTATTTGCTTTTTACAAATCAACTTATCCGCCTTATTAAGAGATTCTTTTCTAATAAGTGGCCGTAAGTGATATGGACTCTCCAACTTTTCTTCTTCTTCCCATTGGCTTTCTGATTTCTCCTTCCCTTCTTCCCTTATCCACTCTATTAGAAGAGTTTTTTTACAATGAACTCACCAAATTTAATGAGAAAAAAAAGGAAAAAGAAAAAACTAAAACTGCCCAGCAAAAGAAAAATATAAACAAAATCAGCGAGTGCATCATTAATTTCGAAAACTCTATTCGAAAAATGTTTCTTCTAAGTTCTAATAGGACGGGAGAAGGGAAAAGGGAAAAGGGGAAGGAAAAACAAAGAATGACAACTAGAGGGAAGAAGAAAAACCAATGAGTCAACTATTCATTCTCGCAATTGCATGTGTCATGTATAGATTCATGTTAGCCGCCCTTAAAGACTTTTGGGATTAAGGTAAAAGTTAATTGTTATTAAAAGCTAAAAGAAGTATCTTTTCATTTCATTGTACCAAACATACACTAATCTAAAGGTGTTCAATCAAAATAATGGTGCAATTAATAATTCAATACTCGTATATCGAAAATTACTCTCTCTGTCTTGAGAAGAAGTTTTTGCTTTCCGTCTTGAAAAGAAGTTTTTACTTTCCTTCTTTATCTATCCCAAAAGGTTTTCATTTCCTTAAAGGCAAATAATAATGAATAAAGGGGGTGTTTGGATCTGATTCTTAAAACTGCTTCTGCTCCTTCAGGGAGCAGAAGTTGGAGTGTTTGGGTGAAAATGCAGAAGTGATTCTGGTGCTCTAATTTACTCCTAGAATCAGTTTTTTTAGAAGCTGGGGGTACCAGCTTCTGAAAACTTATTCTGATTCTGCTTCTGCTTTTAAAAAGAAGCGGAAGCAGAATCAGTTCCAAACACCCCCAAAATGTCCAAAAAATCCTTCCTATTTACCCCTATTAACTCAATCCTTCCCAACCCCACCCCGTCCTAGTCGGGTAAGTATACCCATCCTTTATCCACTCCGACACCCCACTTGCATTCTCTCTCTAAGGTTGTTATCCTTCTTCTTCTCTGTATGCATGGCTTCCTTTGACATATTCACCGCTTTTGCAGATAAAGTGATCTTGTTTCGGTCTCATCTTTAATTTCAGACTTGAATCGGTCCCCCCTTTCATCGTACACCCAAATCCATCAAACCCTAGCCCCCCGACTTGGAGAAGGATTATTTGGTCTCGTAATCCAAACATTCTCTCGTGACAGACAATGACGATGATGAAAAACCTGATCTAGGTTGGTGGCTCTGAAAGATGTATGGGTCCCAGTGTGCATTACTCAGTGTAGGGCACTGTCTTATTTCATCTGCCTCATTGCCTTCATCTGTTTGTGTTGCAGGTACCCCAGGAGTAGCAGCTGCAGTGGCATTTGGGGAAGTTGTAGCAGGTTGATTTGGTAGAGTGAGAGCCAAAGTCGTATTAATGGGATAGTCAATGAATTAGTTGAGATAAATGCAGGCGTTCATGTGTAAAAATTTGGAGGAACTTTAAATTTTCGTGCTTTAGTGCATTTTAAATAGTAAGAATCCTACAAAAATTTGGAGGGGAATTTATACTTGTAATTGTATGACTGGCCGAGCACTATAGAATCATCACTTCAATTGTCATTTGGGTAGTTTTTACTCTTTTATTATACTGTTTTTACTTATATGTTTGAGCCCCTTTTCCTTGTTTTTCATATTTTTGTAAAACACGTGATCAGGTACTTTGGGCTGCAAGTACTTTGGCCGGATTGTGGTGTCATTCTTTTTTTTATTATGGTACTGTGTGACCGGTGTTGAGATGTCCTTAAGAATGTGGTGTCATCCTTTTTTATTACGGTGTTTTGGTAAACTCAATATCACATTCACGTTCACATAGTTTTGTGTGAATGTCAAATAGCACTTCTTTTTTTAAGGGGACATATTATGATGTTTTCAATGAAAAGTTTTCATGTTTTCATTACTTGAAGTTCTTTGTGGTCTTGAACCTGTTCCGATCCTAGATTAAATTTAAACAGAACAATCTAGTCTTGGCTTTGACAATTGTAAATACATATACATCTTGAAATCAGTTCAAACTAGATCAAAACTTAAACAGATCAGATTATACTAAAATAAAATATAAACCATACCAAATTAAAACAATGAAAGTTCCTGAAATAGGAATAAATAAGTTTTGAAATTTCAAAATAGAATTACCGTGTTTTTATTCTTGAAATAAAAGTAACATGTAATAATTAGTGTCAGATCATTACTGTGAAATAGTTGTTTTAGGCATTAAACATGACAATATTAAACATGACAATATTTACTTTTATTTCAGGAACAAAAGCATAGCAAACCTTCCTCAACAAAGATTCCATTAAACAAAACAAAACAAAGATTGCAAATTCTGTTTACAATAATTTCCCATTAAAAAATCAATCTCATACTCTCATACTCAAAAAACAAAGATTGCTTAACACAAACCCCTGCGCCCCTCTCTCCCGCCTGCAGCATTCTCAATTCAGTCCATATAAATTCGCAAAATACAAAAAATATAGGTGGCGTTTTCAGCCTGTTGCAGTTCAAAGGAATTGCATTGCTCTCGAGCCCGAGAACACAGCTGGCCGGCAGAAACAATGGGAACGCCAGCCACCGCCGCAACCGCACCCGCCACCACCACATATGCTCTTATACATAAACAACTACGACACCACGACCGCCGAAGCCACACTTCTCACCATACAACTTTACTCTTCACTGAGCGCATCAGTTTCCCTCCACTCGCTTTTCAGCCCGTCTCCCATTGCCAGCACGTTAGACGCCGTCGCCCCATTCCCTCACACTTACCTGTGGCAGCTTCCCTGAAGGTCCACTCCCTTGTAAACTCAGAAATATTCCTGCTGAAAACGAATTCTGATTCTTGCTCATTTTATAGGAGAACATTAACGGGTTGAAAACAACGTTGAGTAATTTCACGTCTTTGAACCACTGGGTCGTGAGAGACTATGATAGGCTCGTCAGTAATGTTAATGCTCTTGAACCCCAAATTCAGGAACTTTCCGATGAACAGGTAGATAATAGATAATATCCATGCCTGTTTTTGCCAATATATGATGAACGTTTTGCTATTCGAAATTAAATTTGGCGCTGGTTTAGCTGAGCGCAAAAACAGTGGAGTTTCGCAAACGATTGAGAGAAGGAGAGTCCTTGTCCCATATTCAAGCAGGTAGTATTTGATATTTTTATTTTAATTATTTATAAATTCATATTATAATTTTTTATTGAAACTAATACTCCAGTAGTCCCCGCTTAAACTTCTCACTTGCCTCTTTTGGAGGTTCCAGCTAAAGCTTTCCATTTGTATTTGAGGAAACAGTTAACACTCTTAAATGACAAATTAATCATCAAAATTTTGAAAATAATAGACATATGACATCACAATGGTCATTAATGACATCATTATGTCACATTCTCATCAAAATTATTTCTCAAAATGTATGTGAATTACCTTATCTAATTATTGTGTAAATAAATGTGTCATTTTTCAACAAGAAGCTTAAGCCGGGACGGATTTAGTAATTTTTTTGATCTAAATTCTGAATTTGTATGCTGTTTTTTGTTCATAAACAATGTCTGCTAGAGGCATTTGCTGTTGTTCGTGAAGCTGCAAAAAGAAAGCTGGGAATGCGCCACTTTGATGTCCAGGTCTCTCTTTTAGAACATAATAATAATCACACATGCTTAATTTACTTACTAAATTATTGATTTATTGATAGTAGTGTGTGGGTGTGTTTATATACACTCCATAGTGCTTAGTTTACTTTTGTTCTCCAATAATGTACTAGGAGGTAAACTATACATTGGGGGGAAAATTCCAGTGGAATATTTTAGTAAGAGATTTTTTAATTATAATTTGGTTGAAACTTATCTAAAAAAGAGTTTTTGCTAACAAACAGGAGCACCACTGATAAAAAGAAACTAAAGCAGCAATTTCTTGTACAGTTTTACAACAAAGTTTATCAGTTTTCAATTCATATACGCTAGACAGGATTGACAAGAAGCATAGGAGAGTTTTGTGAAATAGTGCTAATAAGACAACACTTCAAGCTTGGGGATCGTGCAGTACCTGCGAGTGGGTTGGAGGGAGGCCTGGGAGGGTACTATGCGTTGCTCATATCAGGATTGGGAAATGAAAAATTCAGATTGTTTTGAGGGGAAGATGTGATATTGTGCACTTGCTGCATGCGTGGTTTTCATCTTTTGGTTTGTTAGACATCCACAAATAGGAGAACTTTTATGCTCCAATCCATGTCCATATGTAATGCATGTTTACATTCTATTATGTTAGGTTGTAGTAAAGTTTTGATGCTTGATCATATTTCATGTGCTTCCATGGATAAATTTAAATTGGTTTTTGTTTAGCCTTTTGTATGGAATTCCAATGGTATTTTCTATTTTTTACAAGGCTTGACTTTTGTTCAAAATTTATATATAATTATTATTTCTTAATTTCAAATGTAGATTATTGGTGGAGCTGTGCTTCATGATGGGGCTATTGCAGAGATGAAAACTGGTGAAGGGAAGACATTAGTGTCCACATTAGCAGCATATCTCAATGCCTTGACTGGAGAGGGTGTTCATGGTCATTCTTTATCCCTTACTTCATATGCATAATGCTTTGACAATCATTCATAATTTGATTCGTCCTCCGGGGGGAGGGGGTTTGAATGGATTTCAAAAAATTATCTCAGCTTGGTCCTCGGTGATTATATTGTTGTTGGGTTTATTACCCCGTGGTCAAGAAGCCCCCATTCTTAATTACCACCTAGCGCACCAACTTTCTTTTTTTACTGCGGGAACTTTAGTATCATTGGGAGATATATTGTGCTTGTTGGGCCTCATCAACTTTTTGTTATAATTCCTCTTTGACAGTTGTCACAGTTAATGATTACCTAGCACAACGTGATGCTGAATGGATGGGACGGGTTCATCATTTCCTTGGTCTTTCTGTCGGCCTTATCCGTGTAATCTTTTTTGCTCTAGACTCCAGAAACACTTCATTTGGTCTCAAACAAAATTTGGGGAACTGCTTTTTTTAGAAAGGGTTGCTTTATGGCGTTGTGTGTATTATGGCCGTTTAACATTAAAAATTAAATAACATATATCAATTAGTATGTGTCAATATATTTCTTTTCTATGCTTTTGTTGAGAATAGTTAATCTGTTAATCCATGTAGAGTTTACATCTGCAAGACCCATATTGAATGTCAATCTGCAAGTATCTTTAACTAAAATCAACTATTTTTTTCTCTAATAAATTCTATATGATGTGCTCCTTACCTGTCTTATGTATAGAAAGGGATGTCAGCTCAAGAGAGGAGATTGAATTATGGATGTGATGTAACATATACTAACAATTCAGTAAGTGGTATTAAGTTTCATATTTCATACCTCCAAATATACATTCTTTCACATCTTATTTCTGGCATGCAATTTAAACTTTTCTTAGCTTATTTTGATACATCATAACTAATAATCATTTCAGTGAATTGACGTTGTAACTAACTAGTCTATTTTGACATTCCCTCTTTTCTCTGTCATTTCCCAGGAACTTGGTTTTGATTATTTACGAGATAACCTTGCTAATAACCGTGAACAACTTGTGATGAAATGGTAAACTATACTGCAACCAATATCTGAAAATTATAGTTCATTGTTAAAGTTTACCTTGTGAAAACAGGCCAAAACCTTTCCATTTTGCAATAGTAGATGAAGTTGACTCAGTCCTCATAGATGAAGGAAGGAATCCTTTATTAATAAGTGGCGAGGTAAATTTGAATCTCTTATTTCAAACTACTGTCAACTTGTCAAGTGCCCTGATGAAAAAGGGGAAATCTTAATATCTTATACAGACTGTCTGATTTGTTTTATTTTTAAGAATTTTTGCACACTTTTCTGATTTTCTAAATTCATGTCCTGTTTATCTCAGGCAAGCAAAGATGCTGCACGATATCCTGTTGCTGCTAGAGTAGCTGATCTGCTCATGAGGGGTCTTGTGAGTCTCAATTTATCATATTTCTTTGTTCTCATATTCCAGCTATGGGAGCTCTATTAAGTTACCTGTATTGACAGCATTACAACATAGAGCTGAAGGACAACTCTGTGGAACTAACTGAAGAAGGAATTGTTCTTGCCGAGATGGCCCTGGAAACAAATGACTTGTGGGATGAGAACGATCCATGGGCAAGGTAAACCTTGGACATAATTTATTTTGTGCATTTATAAGGATTTCCTGAGATGGTGTTGTGATGCTTTGGAAAGAACACCTTCTGTTGCTCCACTTGATCTCTGTAAAACTATAACTATATTAGCCCAACTTTTATTGCAAACTAAAGCTTGTTCAATTAATAAAATTCAAATTGCAGATTTGTAATGAATGCTTTAAAAGCCAAGGAGTTCTATAAGCGAGATGTCCAATACATTGTCAGAAATGGGAAAGCTTTAATTATAAATGAGGTACTACTGGCAGACGTATACGTCAAAATTGTTTTGAAGATTTCTCTCAGTTATTGATTTGGTATTATTGAGTTTTCACTCCATATTGTGTAATTTCATCAACTCTGAAACATAAAAATATGAATATGTGATGAAGGCTGAAGCTTTTGTATTACTTTTTCCTATTTTATCCTTCAATAAGA